TGTTACATTTACTACATTAACAATCTTATCAAAAAATGCATGTACAGCACCGGGCACTCGACCAGTAAGTGAGACACTATATCATTACTCAACTTTGAACATAGTCTACACAAAACTTCATCAGATTCACTGGTCATCGAAAGCACCACTAAATCAACCATTTTCCATATATAATTCAGGAACTTCTGACATAAGCTCAGAACGGGATTAGGGTCCATTGTTTCATGTATTTCAGCGTACCTTTTCAAACTGGTTTTGGAAGAAAGTTCATATCTCCATTTATCATAATACCAATTCGACAGTACCGTTTTGATGAAATTTTTCCATGAGTTCTTTCGGTAATAAACACAGTCTGTAATTTGCTCTTTGAAAAATACACCAATTTGAAACTTTACCATTATCTGGTAAATATATAAAGCCAATTTTCTTTCTTAGCGTTTTACCATATAAAAAGCTACACAGTCTAACGATGAATATCGTATACCATACAAATGAAGTATCGCCATTTGTCAGTTTGTTCCAAAATTTTAGTTTCCGATTTTCTACTTCACTCCACAGTTCCATCAAATCCATACACTGCGTAGTAACGGCAGTCGGAGATCTTTGAGAGAGACCAATGCACCTTCTACAGGCGTGTCTCAAAGTAACATTTACATGCACCTGTGCCCTATATGTATACTGATTCCATAATTCACATCCGTATAAGATTCCGGGAGTAGTCACAGACGTTAGAATAGTCTTACTAGCTAAGGGGTCTAGTCCATTGCAGTGCATACCAACACCTACTAAAGAATTAAGCGTCCGTTTACCCTTTTTACACGAGTCCAATATTACCTCGTCGTCTTTTGTATTATAAGTAAAATTGACACCCGCGTAGATAGTGCTGTTTACCCATGGCAATGCGTTTTTACCGAGATGGGCCGCTTGATTGAACGTCAGACTGTTTCGATTCGATGCAAATTTCATAGCGCTACTTTTTTGAGGACTATAATTCAGTCGCCATTTGCAGGAATAACGGTGTACAATGTCTAATTTCCTCTGAAGGTCGCCCATAGAAGCGGCCAAAACCATAGTATCGTCTGCTAGAAGAACGCCTGGAATGTGCACATTTCCCACTTTTAGCCCGTGATTGTAATGATCAAGCATAACTATTAGGTCATTAATTACAACTAAAAAACACCAAGCAGACAAAGTTCTCCCCTGGCCGACTCCTTGCATCACCGGGTACCTGTCGCTTAATATTTGATTGTAAAGCACCGATGCTTCAACATTTCGAAAGGAGTGAACCAGAAGACGCCAAAATTTTCCATTAAATCCAAGGTTATACAGCTTGTACATCATACCAGAGATCCACACACTATTAAAGGCTTTATGAAAAGCAGCAAACACTTTCGAATCCCTTTCTAGATAGTGTTCTATGGATTCCTTAGCGACAAATGCTGCGATTATACTACCGCACCGACTACGGAAACCTTGTTGTAGCGGATGAGGAAATTCGGAACATCTCTCTTGTAGCCTGAAGTATATAATTTTTTCAAACAATTTTTGTATAGCGGGAGTAAGAGTTATGTCCCTATAACTATTCGGATCCAACTTATCTTTCTTACCACCTTTAAAAAGACTGATAACCACACCAAATTTAAAATGATTCGGATACTGTTCGCCAGCCATTATACGATTATAAATTCTTACCAATAATTCAAGACACCAGTCATTCAAAAGTTTTAGGTGTTCTGCCACGATACCATCATGCCCACCGGCTTATCCAGACTTCATATCACGCATTGCCAGTTTAAGCTCATTTAACGTTATAGGTTCGTCACATATTAAGTCACAGTTGTTAAAACTTTGGGTTTCAAATTCACACACACGATCGCTTATATATTGTTTGTGAGAATTATCAAAATGTTCTTTTTCAAGTGGGCTAGCCAACAGGCTATAATGATTCCTCCACGCGTCTCGTACAAGCTCTGGGTCGCGTAATATAGTGTCATTAACTCGTACTTCTGATGAGCCATTATCCGCCTTATTCCCACGCCTTGCTCTCACGGCCCTATAAAATGTACCCGTGTCTAGTTCAGCGTACTGCCCAAGTTTGCGGAATTGTTTTGCTCGTACTCAGACCTTGCTCTAAGTAGTTCATTGGCGAATACCTTCTTGGCATGTTTGTAGTTTGTGTAGGAATCAGAAGATTGCCCTCTAGGGCGACCCTCTCGTATCCAAATCGACCTCAAATGTCTCATTTTCTTGTGCAAACCTTTCACATTTCTACGGTTTCAGATAAGGTTTATATATTCTTTATGCGGAAATATTATATCAGCCGCACTTTTCACAGATTTCACCAGGTTCCCGATACAGATATCAACATCACTTATGCTGTCACCGATGTCGTATGTACGTAGAGAAGATTCAACAACACTCTGATATTGTTGAATATGAGTTCCTGTTATTGCTTTCCAATTGACGGCGCGCAATGGGATGCGTTGGCGATGTAGTTCGGAAAAGTTACGCGATTTGTACGGGAACATGATCAGACACATTGAGAAAATGGTCATCAGCATTACGGCAAAAAACAACCAAATCGACTTTTGAATTGTTAAGTAACACATGATCAATCATAATCGTGACTGACCCATTACCGGAGACATATGTGTAGTTCAAACCTGTTGACCACGATTGTGAGTTAGCTGATATAAGATGTCTATCTGACATAAATTCCTCCAATAGCTTACCGGTATAGTTGGCTATATCGTGGTTCTTTTCACCATATAACTTTGAGATATGGGCATTAAAGTCACCCATTACGATGACGATCCCCTCTTCCACAAGCCTGTCGTAAACGTCAGACAATGTATCAATTGTGTCTCGGTAATCACGCAACGACATGTTAGACAATGGTTACAGAACGCCGATAACTAATAGCACTGGACCGCTCGTCTCGATTCGAATGCTTATTACTCTGTCGTTACCTTCACTGTATAGCGGCGCTACCCGGAGACGTGTATTCCACATAATAGCGACACCACCGAAACCACGATTCCGCCTATTATCAGGGTTGTCCGAAATACGGTTATCGTGTCTCGCATAAGACTTAAAATGCGTATCAATTGAGTCGAAAAAATTCACTTGTTCAGGCATTAGCCAGTGTTCAAGCACTACAGCCACGTCCACTTCCTTCAATGTCTCACATAAATACGGCGTGCCATACATGGCTCCTCTCATATTCCATGTCTGTAATATCAGCAGGAACGAAATGAACACTAATAACCCAGCTAATAACCCAGATATATTGTACCTAGTATACATCACTGTTTTCAAAACTGTCCGAGTATCCAAAGCCGTCTTTTACATAACGCCCTTTCCCTTCATATCTGTTGTCTTTTTGATATTTGGAATCGCGTTCCAAGTTATCATATACACGCTCATTGTTTCCCCTATCCGACTCTCATGTTTCCTCTCGGTCCCACCAGTCACGAACTAGCACACCTTCGGGCCAGAACGATCTATCAGTAGCAATATGGTAATGTTCTTCTACGACATTAACTCTAGCCGTGTATGTTGGATACTCTTTGTCCCAGTATTTCAATAATTGGACCCAAGTAACTTTGACACCGCGATTACACGCATATGATATGATAGACTGAATTAGTTCGTTTGACGAACCGTCTGCCTTAATTCTGGACATTAGAAGACGTTTCGGTTTTGACTTCCTCTGTACACCCTGAAAAACATATTTGGGTCTGTTTCCGGACTCGCTTGTGGTTGTGCTTTTACCATTTTGTGGGACACTTTTTTATTCTGATATATATCCTTGATTCCCGTTTTTAATCCTATCCACGTAACTCGGTTTTTTCCATTGCCTTCCGACTCCAAGATAATGGGACCGCGCTGATGTCCATTGCTCTCACATTTATTATTACCATCCGATATATTATCATTCAACGAACACTGAACGATGTCTTCGGACTCGCGCCGATTACTTTTGAGTTGTCTAGCATCGCAGTTATAATCCGTATTTGTCTTCGCTTCTCCTAGACGATTTTGTGTACATGTAAAACTCTTTCTCTAGAAGTGTTATTCGTTTACCTTTCTCTGCATTTTCAAGTTTTAAAATCTTTACTTTATTTTTCAGCTCTTTCAGTTCTTGATTTGACGAGCGAGTCAACGATACAAGATGGTCAAGTATTTCTGATCGCATAACAACTAGTAGTCGGAACAGATCTTCAGTAGCCTCTACATTTAAATGCATACCCCTATCTAATGTTGTACCGTTATTGCTACGCTCAGCTGAGATCGTGTCATTGAGTCGATTATTTGTGTTATCGGACCCTATTTCTGATTTTAACCTATACTGATCCGTATACCTGATAACTCCGTTTAGGTCCTCACTGCCTACACTTCCTCCAATGTAGTGGTACAGAAGATAAACATCGTCCTCCAGTTTCTCCCCCGCCGTTGAGTTGCCTCTGTTAGCGTCGATGAAATTCTTTTCAAAGCACAACCATATAGGGACTGACGAACATTCTGTAATGCATCGCCATCGCATTTGTATACTCGTCTGATATACGATTTAAAGTCATTTTTATTCAGGGACCCCGCTTCTTCCGATAACAGCTCATAAATACCATTGTCTATTGGTGACGAAGTGATACTTATTTCACTTTTATCAAATACAGTTTTTTCTTGTGTTATACTGTCATCAGGTGTATCTGCCATATTACCACCGTGTTGTTTTCCACACAAATTATAAACTCTTGCACTTAATGACCGAGGTACAGCCATTTTTATCAATCATAATAAAAACGAAAACATAGTGCTCTCTTTAGCATTTATTGTAGACTAATTACATACATTTAAAAGTTGAAGATATGAGCAGCATCTATAATTACGTAATAGAATAAGTAACACTAAGAATTGAAGACTTTGATAAACTAACAGTTCATATAAGTAAGTGATTGAAGAATGTTATATGTACATGAAGACGAAGTATAGCCGTTGAATCATTTCTCCTTTCCAGTCACTTTCTTCATGTGAATCTCATGCCATTCCTTACCTACAATACAGCAGTTAGAAGGTTACTTGATGAACGGAGAACGTAACAACAAAAAAAAACCCATGAAATACGCATGACTGACTTACTTTGAAAATATATATAAAAAGACGCTATGTTCTCTTTACAACAGATAGAATTTGATATTTGTAGTAACCAAAAAATATTGTCTAGAAATGAGTTAGTTTCCTGACTTCTACGATTGCTTCACTTTCATAAAATGTCAAAAGAATGGGTTTCTAAATGGTTCTCACATTCTATTTTAACGTTGAAGTTGCCTCTCTCCAGTATGACCTCCGCATTAAGATTTAATATAACCAACAAATCTCGCCAGTCACAGTCTACGCCATATTCATTCTCCACCAGGGCTTGAATACATAATCCGACCTGGTTCAGATACCTTTGGATGAATCAGGTGTATGTATGAATGCAAATGGCAATACTATACCATTCAATGATAATAAACACCTTTCCCATAGTGTACTGTCGAAAGTCGTCCTAATTCTGCGAGTTTCCCATAAATGCGAAGTGTCCTAAACAAAGTGTCTAGAACGCATAATAAATATTTAAGGTAAAATCAAAGATTTCACATACCACTCTCTTGGCCGCATGAAATCGACCGAAACAAAAATGCTATATACGGTGTGTATGTATGTGTCATTGTGGCTGAATATCTATGACATGAAATTATACAAATATAAAAGATCATGATTTACACAAAATCAATCTCTAACACAACATATCTAGTATCATGATGAGTACTTTGTCAACAATTTTGTGTGTAGGAAGATGTGTGTATGACAGGGCGTTAGTTGACGTTAAACGATTGACATGTCCGCAAGACAATGCTATTGAGATATATATGATATACTTACGAGCATTTAATTGTGCTGTTATCAGGAAGTTCGGTAAATGCTTTCAGGTGGAAGCAATCAAAAACAAATACAGACGATTTGGTCAAATCTCGGCAAATAGGATCGGTCTCTGAAAATCAACATTATGATTTAATGTTTTCTTTTTATATCCTGAGTTATTAGGCAATTTTTTTTTCGCTAAACTTTATACTGTTGTAAACTTGTGCCGAAAGGCACTTTTCTCTTGTGTGTGTTGTACAGTCCTTTATCGCGAAAAAAGGTCCTAAAACCAATGTCAATATTAATATCTATGTAGTTCTATTTCATTGAAATAAGCACAAAGTATTTATATATGATTTACAAGAAGAAAAATGTTGTTTCTATCTATATGTATATAGATATAGTAGTGTCATCCTTTTTATCTTCATATATAAAACTAGTAAATAATTTACAGAAATAGATCGTTGTAATTTACAGCCTTGTGATGACAAAAAGTCACATACAAATGGTGCCTACGGATGACGGGATCACAAAGCTTCGCCGGGAAAAATGAATGCAGAAAGTCAAATAAAGAGATCTTAGAATAGGTCTGGGGGCTACATTATGAATATCCCCGACTAAATTGACATTTTGATCATGCAATGTGAACCGCATCTACAGATTGTTTGATCATCCCTCAAACAGCAAACATTTATTGTTTTCTATCAACAGCCCATTTAGTATCGTTTGATATATCCATAACCTTTGTGCGATGACATGTATGTCACCAAACTATTACTGAACAGTATCACCTGCTGTTAAGCCGAAGGTATATATGGACAAAACACAGTTACAACTTTCAATAAATTCCGTTCAGCAAGCACTCTGAAACCATATAATTATGATTGCTGATACACAAGTGTTAACATTGACAAGATTCAATGCGCTAACAGAGAACTGTTTACAAGATGTAAATTGAATAGTTATATCACATACACACCAGGGAATGTTGATAGTGAATTTGTTACTTACTGAATACAGACCCATTACTTCTCTCGTCGTCGCTTGCTATCAAAGCTGTTGCTATATCAGAGAACATTTCTGACGACAAGATGGATGGAACAGCGGTAGATGATTTATTTTCATTTGCGTTTGCAGCGGAAGTTCGAAAATCTGGGGGGAAAATATGGATACAAAAATTCTCAATATGCAAAAGTTTGACATATAAAATTCGTTTTACACCAATTATTGAAATGCCATTGGTCAAGGTTTTCTTCTTGTCATTGGTACATATTGCTTTGATACGCTGAACTACTTTTCAGTGTTAGTGACGTTGTAGTAGATCTAATAAACATAGCATTATCAAAATAACTACACAGATCATAGTATCAGACTTAAAATATCGATATAACTTCAGATATGATAGAAACAAGTGCGTTAGATTTCTTTAACATAGACAGTCTCAGAATCTGTAAGGTAGGTTCTATAAGCTTTTCAAAAGGGAGTAGGTATACCATACACCTAGATTTTATGTCTGGTATTCTCCATAACATGTCTTTCAGAGAGTAGTCAGACCTTGAGAATTTCTTTTCCCTGCATGATTTGTAGCAATGTCTATATTTTTATTTCCATTTCCCCCGTACAATGGTCTGTCCGTCGATTGAGAGGAGCACAGGGGTCAATGAAGTATTGCCTGATACTGCTACCGTTTCATCTCGGTTTATTGTACTGGTTTCTCCAACTGTCTTTTGTGTCTTAGAACAATGATTTGTTGCTTGTTTGACAAAAACCATTCGGTCATTTTCAGATTTTTATCATCCATGTATTTTCTTAAATCTAGCTGAACTAGAAAAGAAGTTAATAAAGTGATGTGATTTTAACTATTTTCTCTGATAATGGCATTTAGTTGGCAGATAATAATTTTGGCAAGTAAAAAACTTGCAACATTGTTTTTTGTACATCAATGATGGTCCAAAATGTCTAGTATAGGGTGGTACAACTGCTTTTTGATGAAGTTACGGCCAATATCGCCAAAACAAAATGAAGGTATAAGGTTTAAAGATACTAGCAATTTATTTTGCTGATTCTGCTAAATAAGTAATGAAAATAAATACTTTGACACAGTGTAATCCACCTCTACAACTGTTGTAAGTAGCATTGCATAGAAGAGAAATGAAATTTGTCATAATTTGTGCCTCCAGTAGGTATAAAATGGTAGATAAGTAAATAGTTTGAACAAATATTTTAATTAGAGGAGTCAAACTGATTCGAGTGTCATTAAAATGTTATTATTTTTGTTAATGGCAGTGATACATAGATAAAGAATGAGACACGGAACTTAACCGTTTTATAGCATGAAACTTTATGAAACTTACCAATGTGATCACTGTAGCCTTCGAGTGCTGTAATCCAAAAGAAGAGAAGATATAAATTTATAGGAAAAAATACTGTTGATACATATTATGCTTGTTTTTAGCACATGAAACATTTATGCTTGTATTGATGTGTACAGTGATCAATTTCTCTATTCATTTTCCAACTTACCTACAAAACAAGCCCCAGCTGCAACACCGACAATAAATATCACAATCATCATTACTATTGTTGTTTTCCTACAGGAATGTTTATCACCTGAAACGAAAATTGTTTAAAACCATATCAATCATATTTGTCAGCGTTATAGAAATCACATCGTATTTGTACTTAACACAAACCATCGTCGTCGCGGTATTTGGTTTTATTTTTGTCTTTTTCTTTTTGATTGCAGACATAATTACTTTTACTTGGTGTTTCCTGAATTAACGAACGTTAGTGTCATCATCCTATAAAATTAACACAATTTATAACTTGAAACTTATACACCAATCCAACGTCATTTATGTCATGCAGGTATGACGTAGCAATAACAGGACTCAATAGAGATTCAATAAGATATTTTACACCGTAGCAGTAATTGGGAGAATTTGAATTGTAAAAAAGCTGTTAACAGTATTGAATGAATGGGACACAGTATTGAAAGCATTGATCTATTGTGTGCTTGTAAAATAATAAAACAACAACAGAAACTGCACCTACAAATTCAAACTATATCTGTATATTGTTTTCTTAGACACCATTTTAAAATAACCATCACACTTAATTAAAAAAAAAAAAACATTGCTCTAGTTTTTAAATCATCTAATACAGGTTGCGATGGTTGAGAGAATCAGTAGAATGCTCTCGCCAGCCACCTAGACCGTACCTAACCTTGATTCTTCGACCAAGGTTGAGCAATTGTGAGATTATCTGCCTGATCACGAGTGCTGTACACGATTCTTAAGTCTTCTTCAATAACTTTTACTTTCCGCAGACTAGTAAGAATAACATTTATACATTAAAAACCTTAATTCACGGTTGTTATAAAATGATATTCGTTATTTGTTTAAATGATTGGCATATAAATGAAACCCTGGTTGAATGATGAACTCGAATAGCAATGGAATGAAGCAAAATAACAAGCAGATTCATCATTGTTTTCGAAAGTAGACGGTTTGATCATATTAATCGCAAATTCAACCGGGGATATTGATATGATAAAATAATTGAATTATCGGCATTGTGTGACGAACAACTGTTTTTAATTTTTTTAAAAAACAAAGACCTTTAATGAAGGAACGGAGGTAATTAATGATGTTCAATGTGTAATGGATACCTATGAACGTGATTATGGATATATTTACTAGGAACGTAACAATAGTGATATCTATGATACATGTTTAACATCCTGTCAAAAAACAAATGAAGAATAGTAATAATCTTGCACATGCTGGAGATGAATAACCGTGTCACTGTTACTGTTCTCTGGAAAACAATCCAAATGTAGGGAAGCGAGATATTATCAAACCAACTCCCAAAAACCAGTAACCAGTCAAATTTATACATACATTTTAGAAACGCGTTTGAACAATATGACGGAAACCAGTAAAACCTTAGCTGATAAAAAACGGATTTCGGAATTAAAGGAGCTATGTGGATAATTTGTAGGTGTTTTATTGGTAATAGAACGAAATCACGTAAGCATACATTTGATTGCTTTATTGATCCGAAGAAAGCTGTTGACTGATTCAATCTGCATGTCCTATTTACTTTACCTAGCTGTACAGGACAGAATGCTTTTCAAGGCAATTACCTATCTGTACAATGTGTCGCCAGCGGAGTGAAGTAATATCATTGGTTTAGCACAGGAACTCAACAACGCACTACACGGCATATCACTAGATTTCATTATGTGGGATTTTAACGTCCACAGATGATATTGTTTTATCATCGGAGTAATAGGGAGACATGCACTCTATTCCAAACATAGTTAATGCATACTGTTGGTTTTAAATGGAGGCTGGTTATTGATATGGACAAAACTAATATTGCAAACATTTGTATTAAAAGGAAATATCGTTCAAACTTCAGTTATAATGTAACTCATATAAATACGCCTGTACCTTGACTTTATGTTGAATGAATTTCTGGACATGAAATGCAGCACATAAACCAACAAAGTCTGCAAGTAAAGCACTCGATGTAGTAATAACAAAGTCACTGCAGGTGCTTGTACCCCTAACTAAGACCGACATACCGTTATACCATGATAATCCTTCTACCTCTGGATCTGCCGGTAATAATAACCCAGTGTCCTCTGAAGGAAGCTTTTACTACTATAGATCTGTTTGCAAAATGTTCCGGATTAAGAGTAGATGTACGAATAACACTTGAAGTTTGTCTAGGGGCGAAACGATGTTGTGGAGAAAATACTTAAAAAACGGAATTTATTTTGGAATCACAGATGCAAATTTAAGCTTCTTAGTATCAATTATGATATGAATGAATATGATGTCACATTACAAAATTCTGAAGAAAAATTTGAATCGTCCGAAAACTTTTAAATGAGTGGTCTTCACACTAACTACCCCTCACTAGAGAAGGTGTGTCAGACCTTGATGATATGCCAAGAAAAGAGTATAATTGTTACCTGAATTGGTAAAGTCTTAATCAAAAGCGGTGTTCAGAAGCCCGGTTCAGCAGACTGATCAGACTGATCTGAGTGAAAAAGTATGCGTGTAATTTGGAAAAACTCGTATACAAGAAACAAATCCACACATCCTTTTTGTTTATTTATTTTTTTCTTTTGATTTTGTTTGTTTTTTGTTTTTTTTTTTTTTTTTTTATTATTTTCTAATTCTACGATTTACTTATTTCAATAATTTGATTTAGAATAAGCAATTTGTATATGTGTATTTTCTAACCTCTTTACTATGAAAGGAATGTTTTGTTTAGATATGAATCATAATTTTATTCTTAATTCCTCCTAACCAAAAGAACTAACTTGTAGTGTAATTCCTGCCAAAATATCTTGCAATCGGAACGAACACAAGATATATACACATTCATTTTTTTTTAATTATTTAGACTACATCATTTACTGATTCAATCAAACTTGAACGAGATGAGGTTTGTCTATCAGGCTGCATTCATTAAGTACAGCACCACAAAAATACAATTTCTGGTAAAAATGACGCGTTTAATTCCTAAATCTTTTAGCCGTTTATTTTATGTATAATACAGATATACGCAACGGATATAACATGGGATACAATTTAGTTTGATGTGGAGTAGTTTCAAGTAAGCTCAATACGTACAAATTATTGTACGAAGGTTTCTGAAATTTAATGTTTGAAAGCTAAGCTCTCATTTAACTTTATATTGATGCATGTTCTGAATCAGTGTTTGTGGTTATTGATATAAAATGCTGCCTTAAAATGTAACCAAATCGTGTATGTTTAACACTGGAAATTACACGGCTTTTTCGTCGAATCTGTTTATCTCTTGCTCTTCAGGTGGCGTTAGGACTTTATTTTATTTTTATTTGAAAGGTAGGTACACAGTTATACGAAATCGATCGAGTAAACAATAATACAGCAGGTATATTATGAAAAATATAATCATGTTGTTATCATTTATGGGTAAAATCTTAGACAATTGCAAGAACATGTGAATGTTGCAGACACCATGTGCAAGACGATAGCAAGACCAATTTCCATTCAATTTCCTGACATCGCTTAGCATTGGGTGAGATCAATTCATATGGAGTGAAATGTTTTGTCATACCTTGCATTGCTTCGGTTGTCTGAACTTTATTCACTTTCTTTACAGCTGTGTTCCAGCCGACGCCTTCCCCAACACTGATCGCTGATTTTGTAACGTGGTGCTGTAATTAGAATAGACTTTATCGCACAATTAGGAATTAGGTTTGGGCACTATTAACTGCTGTGTCTATGTAGCTTCCATCATAAACGTACAAAAACGCTAGTTCATAATTTTGCGGTTACCTTAACAGCACATTATTATCATAGGCATTTGCGTTGTGAAGTAAACGAAGATAAGGGTACACGACGGAGCAATGATATAGGAATATTTCATATGTCGGTGTGTAGGATAGGATATTCCACCTGAGGGGTCACATATGCCGGGATTTAGGATTGCGATATTCCCCCAGGGTGGTAAAAAATGTCGGGGTGTAGGATAGAGATATCAAACTTAAACGCTCAGCTTCAGATGTCGATAATGATCTACAAAGAACGCCACATGACACAAAAACCAGAAACAAATTGACATAGAAAATGAATTTTCTTTATCAGAATTTGGCAAACAAAGTTTGCCCTAGAAAATTAAAACAAAATATAAACAGTCACTGCAATTAACTATTTGCATACAAATGTATATACATTGTATAATGCGATGACGTCAATTGGGAAGGGACACGTCACATTCCTACGCGGCGTGCCTGTAAAAATTGATGGGTGTGTAATACAAAACAGTGAACCTGGGTGTATTGTCTGGGACAGACCACTATTACACGGATAGAAATTAGAGATACTATTACTTGTATTAGAAATAACATTCAATATATCACAACTTATCACGTATATGAATTGAAATGTCCTTCATAGGTTTTCAAATCTTGACCTTTGTTCCGAATCTTTACAATGAACGCTAATTACACGTAAGTTTGCATATACACACGATAAAACTCAATAAAAATGTTTTTTTTTTAAAACTCATAACATGGGATGCTTATCAATGTATTACTGTTGAAGTTATTGAAAGGACAATGTCAAACAAAACCTATAATTACCCATAACTCGAAAAAACCTGGCTGAAAAATGTATGAAAAGGTAAAGATTGGCGAAATTTCTCAGTCTGATATGAAACAAAATTATCTATATTCGAGCGTTCAAAGCAATTAATCTGCTGTTAAGCTGTCGATAATAAATCAAGATAAGAAAAGATACCGATTCAATACATAACAAATCAGGTTTGATACAAGAGAACCGCAGTCTGTTACCATTATATAGCTTTACGATCAGTGTACGACAGACAACAGCTATTGGACGGTCTGATATTTAGTATGAATAGTCATACAGACTGCTGCAAGATGTGACTGTTTATGACTCTGTTTGGAAGAACAATTTTAAAATTATTCTCTTATATATATCATCAGTTATAGCTGTTACCAAAGCAAAACCATCACACTAGTATTGTTCTAGAATACAATTCTAGATTTGTGTTGTAACATACTAATCAATTGTGTCTTTTGAACAGTTACGAAGCTATTTTATGTAAGTTTAAGCATTTCAATATAACAAAAATTACTACATTGTTTGATTTGACTTTTCATTGACTCCGATGACTCCACAGAATTATGAAAATAAAGTTAAAAACCTACAGTGGTTCAAACTGTGTTTAGATTTTTGCACAAATTGCACACAGGTGAATAACACTTTTCGATACTTATTGTGCATCAGATACTTTAGAACCAAGTAATGAATAAAACTGCATTATACAGCTGTTCCGTCCTTCTACAACTCGTCAGTGATGGTAAAGGCTTTTCTTTTTTATTTTTTAACTGCTGGCTGAGAAATGCCAAAATTGTCAGAAATAAATGTTAAAATCGAAATGGGAGCACTTACCTCATAATTATATAATTGTTTATAAATATGATCATTTCAAAACAACGTCAGGTACCGAACACATACTGATATCAAATGCTGAATAAGTTGATTTTGATTTTAATTGTTTCAACTAAAAGCTAATGCAAGCGAGTAGGCATGTTTGATTTATTTTCTGTAACAATTCATTAAAGCAAACGAGTTATAAGCTAATATTCATCATTCTACAGAGGAGTTAATGTCTAGCGTATGTATTACATACCTTTATATCATTCATGGTGCACGGTTTATGATTTCTGTAAAAAAAAAAAAAAAAAACATGGTGAAAGGACAAGAATGCACTAGCATATCCTGAAAATCATAGTCAAGAAATCAACGTGATAAAGATTTATACACGGAAAGTCTTTAAAAGTTGCTTGAAGAAGGAAAAATTAGGGCCCCAAATAACTTTCAGTCAATGTAAGTGAGAGATGCCACGTTCTCAAAATAATGATTTAGCTTGCATCGACACTAAAGGGCATACCGCAGATACGGTATTGCACAGCGTTACACGATGTTCAATGTGTGCAGGATGTACACACCATGTGAATAGCGTGCAGAAAATAGAAAGCATGCATTGTGTTATATCAATGCACACAATAGAAGAACGTTTTGTGATAATTTGCGATTAATATGAATTAAGAAAGCATCCAATGATACGTGCTGCAAATGACACACATTTCTGGCACGTATTAATTATACTCAGTAGGACAGTGATATTAATTAAAAACATGCATACATTATAGCGGCTTTGAAACCATCCTCCTGAACAAGCTGACAGTGTACACCTAGTTAGAGACATATTTAATTTGAGGTAATTTAATGTTTGTTTATTATGTCAAGCGTGTTTCATAATGCTACTTGTGGAGTTAAAGGGACAATATTTTGTTCCAGTGACAGGCTTATTTTAAATAAATGTTTCTGCTGGTGATGAATAAGCAAGGAAATTGACAATATGATACATGTATTATGTATAATCGTGCTCATGCGTCCGCATTTGAATTTAGATACTGTATACCGGGAAATGTTTGCCATTATTTCATTTCCTAACTTTTCGTCCATGATAAGATAGAACGAATTTAAGATGGGGAGAACATTTGTTACGCAAACATATATTTAGCTTTTTATACAATCCTGAGACAGCAAAATGAATGTGACTGGTATACAGAATCATTTGACAGTTCACCGAGCACCGTTTACCTAGTTTCCAAAAATTAATGCATGAAATACGTAATCCAGAAGATAAATTTACACTATATATAAAAATACGTTTTATATACTCGTCCAGCAAATGTGATATTATTTCTCGTTTAGTATGTATGTAATCAAACGCAATGTAGCTTGCTCAACCTTCCAAACACAAAATGTAAATTTGATCCGAAAAAAAAACAACCAGTAAAAGATAGCAAAAACAAAAATGGAACATATTTAATTTCATAGAAAATACGTGCATTAGTTTATGAAACTTCTAATATCAAGGGATTAACTGAGAGATGTTATTTTTTTACATTTCAAAATATAGTATGGTCTAGGTCTATGACCATGTAATGTTGAAATCCTCTACCTTGGACTTGTATGATTTGTCCAATGAGGAATGGGTTGGGGTGTGTGGCGTGTGTGCGTGTTGGGGGGGGGGGGGGGCATGCGTGATCCGTGTATGAGAAATGAAGACAGTATTTGCGATGTACATTCATCTTAGTAGGGATTCTTTCTGCTGCTTAACATTCTCAAAGTTTGGCTATTGTTTTCTATGTTTTGCCCACATCCCAATCTAGGTTATTATGTGTTATATGTAGTACCCAAGTAAACTCATAAGAATGTTTGTTTAAAAACCCAAAAATCACCCGTGATATGGCCTATTTTATTATATTTGTCATGAGTGTGAGCTAGGGTGCACATGTTACCCCCAATACCTGTAATTAATCATTACATTGTGTCAGATCTCTTTCGTTAAAGTCTGCGGCAAGTTTTGAGCCTATTACATCTATAATTTTTGGTCAAATATATGCACTTAAAATATTGAAAATTTATAAAGTTCTGGTACCGATAAAATTGTCCCTCGGACAGATTTTCTTGTGAGGGCAGAATTAGGAAACCACTCTTATTTCTGACATTTTATTGTTTATCCAAATCTTAGATTATTTTTGTTTCATTCATTACTTCTATGTGCCATTGAAAATAATATCAAATCACATTTTGCCTTATTAGATATTAAACAGAAAATGTTCACATGGTCCGTATTTCTCTCGTTTTTTTTTTAGATTTAGATATGAAGTGTCAGATTTAGACTGCCATGCATGAAATAGCTGGACCTTGTGGTCAATTTAAGGACACAGATGACTTGCTTTCATTTAATCTGACCTTGTTCAGCTTCAAGTGACACTGCAAGTACAATATACCTCTTTCTGTATATTAGGAGAAACTTACAACTGTTTTTTCATGAAATCACATGACCATGCTTACTAACCTCTCCAAAGCCACAATATCAAATATTTTCACAAAATTGGTGATATATTGAACTCTTCAGTTGTCCCCAAACATATTAATACATCCCATATATCACGCTAAGAAGCTATTACACACAATAATGTATTAACCAAAATATTTATGGTGATCAGATCACTCATATCTTAGATGGTACCTATATCTACCTCAACAAAAGCAAAGATCACCAGTTTCAAAGGGCATCATATTGTGTTGTTTGATGGGTATGCTTTAGACACAATTAGTCCCTATCACGGCAGTATAAATGATGCATCCTTAACTCAATCTTGGAACAATTCAACGTCCTGAAATATTCAAGTAAACGACAATGTAATTGTGGATGGTAGTTTCAGGGACATCTAAGACCTGTTAACTGAGCTGGAATATGACGCTAGAATTCGGTCGTTTTTACCAGCTGGAAAATCATGATAAAACAGTTGATAACGGTTAGTGCTGCACCAAACGTTGCCAACGTTGCATCAATAATATATTACTTAAGGTATTATGTGCATTTGGAACATCAAACCAAATGTATGTAATATATGTATACATATATAATGTATGTATGTGCTAATTAATTAGTGTCGTTACGCCTTAAAAATATTAATAACGTTATTATCTCCCTTCATGCATTATTGATTGTATTACGTCATAATGTTGTTACCAAGTCATTCAAGAAATCGCCTGAAGATAGCCGAGATACGGCTTGAAAACGTTAGCGATAATCAAGTTTATTTGCCTTGTTGGCCTTTTATGTTTACATATTTAAACGATACACAATGTTCTCATCTAATTGAACTATATATATACATATATATATATATGTATGTAAAAATATATAAAAGCCACTCCCTTTCGTTTCAGTTCTTTTATGAAAAGAAAAACATACTGATAAAATTTGAAATATTTTAATGATTCTTCCATCACAAGGAAATCTGTCTCTGGAACTTTTACCGGTCCCGGAATTCTATGAATTTTTCGGTACTAGAAGTACACATATGTGGCCAAAATATGTAAAATATTTTAGATGGAAGGCAGCTGTAAATTAGTCGAACAGTTTTCCATAACTTGTATTTGTTGAAATTTTCATGAAAAACTACATAACTTGTTCATAATTGTAATACTCAGCTTTATATTTGAGTTCAAAACATGAAGCAGACTTTTATGACAAAGATTTGATCCAGTTTAATGATTTATTACAGGTTTTAGAACAAAATTTGGGGGAAGTTATGCACCCTGGCTCACACCCATGACCTGGATAATTAGTTAGATCATAGCACAGGCCATCGATGAATTTTGGATTTTTTAAAACACACATTCTCAGGAGTTTACTGAGGTATTATAAATAACTCACAATAAAGATTAAATTGAGATGTTGGCAAAATTACATGTACCGTGAAATAGGTCCTTTCGTGGAAAACAAAAGATTTTCTGTGGAATCGGCATTATTACCAGGTACCTTTTTTCCTGTTAGACCCTGTTTAAATATTGCTGATTTAAATGCTAAGGCATTCCTATATAAAGAGACTCTAACAGAATTTCTGGGTAAGATGGCGATGGTACAGAATCCTACCGACATGCCATCGTTACCATAAACCAAAGTGTTGTAAATGTCTACATCTTGGCATCTGACTTTCGACAGCGTGACATAAACAACTGCAACCTTAATCGGCAAAAGAAATGATCACCGGACAAGAACCAAAATGTGGATTATCTAAATGACCTGTGCATAAAAACTATTGAGCGGTACTCATTGATAAGTATTCACACTGGTACCATATTCAAAGTGTGCTGACATCTCACCACAATTTTAAAATATATGTCCTCAGTAATGCAAGCAGAGCTGAATAGCACTTGGCTTCCCGATTCTCACTTCAGTGTTGATAAATATCACATATGAAATGCCGACGGAAACTCACATTAAATGAAAACAGGATTTGCTTATTCACCGCGTCGAAACGATGGAGTGTCAAAGATTTTACAAAAAGACACATTAGTGAAGACAAAAATTACAAATGATGTTCGAAAATTCTTTTTCTTTTTTAACAAAATAAAGTGTTAAAGTGGACATAAACTACTGTCTATTAATAGCTAAAGAGCAGATTGAGTGTAATATTCTTGACTTGTCAAATATAGTTTCAAAACCAGTCATCCAAAAAAACCCCACTGAACCAGCAGTAATCTGTGTAATTTTAAACAACAAACCGAATTTTACCGAAACAAAATATGTTCATGAAACACTATGCATCCCGTTACATCATAATTATGAAGAGGAGGGATATTGAAACTGTACTGTGTAAGGCATGTGTTAATTGGTTGGAAACTTAGTGAAACACTTCACTGTGCAATAGTTAATGTTTAAGCTTTTTCAAATGTAGGTCAAAGGCCACGGTCAAAGTCACATGGTAAAAACAATAAAAAAATCACTTCATATACAAATGCATAGGGGTAAAACAACAGAACGTTTAGTTATCCATAAGACCTTTTATCAAAAACAGGGCTG